GAGAAGCAGAAGTCATCTGATCTGCTGAAGAGACTGAAGGCTCTAAACTAATGAAACTGAGACCTTTGAGAGTTTGTTACATGGTGCATAAACATGACATAGAAGCAAATTGATATGTATACTGTTTGCCAGCAAAGAGGGGTTTGCTTTATTTATTTGGGAAGATGAATTCCCCGGATACTAAACAGAGATTAGCATGTTTTAAAATGTCAGTGTGTTACACTGACATGTATGCTGAGTGTGTCCCAAAACTGTTCAGTACAGAACATTTTGATAAGGTATCTGCAAGGCAGAGTCATAATAATAATGACTGACTCTATGATGCTAATATTGATCTAAATTATAACGAGTATTTGTACATTATGAGAAGGCTTCCCAGGTATACTGTAAAAAACACAGACATTTTTAGAAAATATGTATGTAGGTGAATTAGGATACGAAAGATATCCCAGCCATGTGGGATAGTGCTTTAAGTTTTCCCATAATGGTACTTCCAGGCTGGTGATGGTGAGCTGAGATGTTAAAAGCCAAGTAATATGGCAGGGACAAGCAGCTGGCAGAAGCTTTTATTTGCAGGTATGCACAGTTGATTGTGGCACTGAACACTTTTAACTCACCTCTGATTCGGGTTCTACAGCACAAACTAACCTTCTCCTTTTATGTGACTCAGGATAAAAACCTGGAAAAGGAAGAGGTGTCCCATGATCTTTAACAGACACCAGGCCTGCACTCTTTTTTGAAGCCATCACATGAATCCATTGTTTTGCAGTCACACTGCATCCAGATGTGTCAACCCCTGGGTGACAGGACTGAAGCTGACAGGGAGTGAGGAAGGAAAGGTCCTGACCTGCTTAGGTAGAAACAACCAGAAAAAGTGCTGAGGGGTGCAGGACCAAGGGGCTACCTACTGCTGCAAAGGTTCTGCCTCTTGTGCAGTTGGTGTAGGACAGAAAAAGATGAAGAACAAGGTTTTTCTCAAACTTCTCCATATGAGTTTATAACGGATTAGCATCACTCCAGTGTTTCAGACCAACAACAATGAAGTTTAACAAGGCTGTATGAACTGTTCCTTGTCTGTCTGTTCCAGGAGGTCTCAAGGCCCTCTTAGGAAAACAACAGGACTGCAGTGAATGTCTGCCTTTCTCATATGTTTTCTTTAGCTTTTAAACAGAGGTTCAATTCATGTCTGTTATGGCTTGCATTGGACAGGATCTAACTCATTTGAATTCCAGCAGTAAAAACAGGCTGAAAACCCTGCATGTGTAGAATAATTCTGTCCTTAGTAAAAGCCATGGTAGAATTTAAACTAGATATTCATTAACTGAAAGGTTTTCACCACTTGCTACCTTCCTGTCCTAGAGGTCCATGTTTTAAAAATTCCTCTAACACTGCTGGGTGTAAGATAATGAATTCTGCTGTGATGTCTCTTACTGAGAGAAATCAAGTGTACTGAAGAACTCAAAAGCTCTGTTAAGGATGAATTCTTACATTTCTTTAAAACAGAATGAAAAACCACGCCAGATTTGCAACCAACAAAAGTAAAAAGGGAACCCATCCCAAGGGTATTCTGAGAAAGCCAAAACATATGAAAAAGCATTTATGCTGTAGACTCCTGAATGTGTAACTGAACTGAGTTTGACTTTCCAAAGGAAATTACAATGCACAGTAAAAGACTGGTAGCTAGAGAAACAGGAATATAAAGAATTGATTGGAGATGCAGGGAGGGTCTAGTTGAAATCAAAGTATCTAGGTAAGACAGGAAAGAAAAACTAATGCTTTGCTTCAGTTTGCAGGAGGAGCTGGGGGATGGTGCAGGGAAACCAAGGAACAATGTGCAAAACAAACTCAAAAAGCCTAACACCATAAATTCTTGAGGGAACCTATGGTCTCCATGCCAGAATCCTGAGAGAAACAGCACAGAGAATACCCATTCAGCAGAAAGGATTTTTAATGAATGCTTCTGTGTTAAGAACAGCAATTTCAATACACATTCTCCACTTCTCACAAAATCAGGGAGCACGGGTTCCTAACCACTGCTTCCATGAACATAAGAACAGTAAAAGTATTTTGCATAGAGTATATGAACTTTTTGCCCTCTCCTCTGTCCCTGTAAAACCTGAACAGCTGCTCACTGGTTTATCCTCCAAAAAGAACAAAGTATTCTGTGAAACTTTTCACTTGGTGACTTTGTTTCCACTGTTCTTGGTATAATTGTTAGGATGACTGATAGTGCTTCAGCTACCAGCAGTTATTATTCTTTTGAAGTAATTTCTTTCCACTGAGCCTATACCCTAATGGGATATTGCTAGCTGTTATTTCAGTTGTCTCATATTTTTCAACTAAAAAACCTTCATACAAAAGTTTTTTAAAAAGTTCTACCATTAATCTTAACATTCTGCAGCATTTAATATGTATTGTCTCAAAAACCATCAACCTATCTCCTTTGACTTTTCGATGTATTTCACATGGCAGAATTGCCATTAATTGTACTATCTATTTCTGCTACATCAGTATTCTATCCAGATAATGTACAAATGCTGCTGTGCAAGATCAAACCCACAAAATCTCTCAGACACAACAAAAATGGGATGCTTAGAATCAAAAAATGACTGAGAAATGTGGATACTCCCTGAATCAACCATCTAGTTATTCCAAATGGACAGCTACCACTGCATTAAGCAGTCCTTGCAATGAGAAGCATGTGAAGGGGAGCAGCCTCCTGATGCTCCAGAGGCATTTCTGTTACAGCTCAGCAGGACAGCACACCTGCCACTGTGGAGCTGCTCTCCAGAGGTACATTAGAACTTGCAGGACTGCAATGAATGTCTTATGCATATTAGGTTAAGCTTGGACATTGAAATGCACAGCTGAAAATTTGCATTAACAATAGTACTGGGCAGCATTTTACAGCTAGGAATTCTATTTTCAAAAACATCCTGTGTAATTACATGTTTGAAATGCTTCCTGAGAAACTGATCTGGAGAATTTCTGCTTTTACAGCCATGTTAAAAAACTGCCCCCTGTGAATGAGTGGCCTCAATTATTTTTTTGATCAACGAGTTCTTAGCCTGATTCAGCCTTGCAATCAATCCCCTGTAATCAGCAAGGTGCCATTCTCTGGCACAATCAGCACTTTGGCCACAGAACATTTCATTTCCTCACCTTGGCTGCTAGGCTGTTTGTCTGAATAACCACCAGATTTACTGGAGCTTCCAGGAAACTGGCATTGTCTGCAATGTATCTAACTAGGAATGCAAATACATTACACTCCTCAGTACATTTCCCAATTCCCCAAAAATGCAGAACTCCAGAAAGAAATGCCCAGTCATGATCATGGAATTCAAGCCTAAGAGGACTGGACATACAGAAGACTCAGATCTCCCTGACAAACATAAGCAATTTAGTAATTTTAAAAGACCCAAGAGCCCCTGAGACAGGAAGGGAAAGGAGGGATGAGCATTGCAGGCACTAAATGAAGCTTACCTAGAAAAAAACGAGATGTCCCAATGCAAACTTCCTGGTCTGTGCTCACTGACACAGGAACTGATCAGAGACCTAACAGAGCACCACCCACAGTCTGGTTTGTTTGGTCTGGACCTACATCCAGCTCACAGACTCCCACTGCTGTGGGATACATGCTGGATGTTTCAAGGCTTCTCTTCAGTATACAAACACCTTCCTAACTGACAAGTGCAATAAGGATAAGATATTTTAACCACTTTCCACATTGGATTCCTACTTTAATTCACACACTATAACATATTAAGACTAATGTTCTTCACATTAGAATGGTTTTGGTTGGAAGGGACCTTTAAAGGCCACCTTGTCCAACGTCCCTGCAATGAGCACATCAGTTTGTTCTGCAGCCCAGCCTGGAATGCTTCCAGGGGTGGGGCTTCTACCATCTCCCTGGGCAACCTGGGCCAGTGTTTCACCACTCACCTCCTAATAAACTTCTTCCTTAGATCGAGCTGAATCTCTCCTCTTCCATTGGAAACCATTACCCTTGCCCCACCACAGCAGGCCAAGTGAAAAGTCTGTTCTCATTTATGAGCCCCCTGTAAGTACCCAAGGGCTACAGCAGGGCCTCCACAGAGACAGCCCCAGCTGTCCCACCCTTCATTGCTCCTGGGAGAGCTGCCCCACCCTCTGATCATTTCTGTGCCTCCTCGGGATCCACTCCAGCAGCTCCGTGTCCTTCTGTGCTTGGAGCCCAGCGCTGGAGGCAGCTCTGCAGGCGGGCTCTCACTGAAATGGAGCACAGGGGCAGACCCTCCTCCCATGACCTTCATGGGTTTGTGCTCACAAGAAAAGGAATCTGTTTCTTACCATCTTCTCAACTGGAAAGTCAATGCAGAAGACAAAGTTCCTTTGAAAAATCTATCTATATTGTAACTAATGTTTAATCTTATTTTAAAACACAATTGCTGAAAACAGACATTGCAGCTCAGTTGTTTACCATTTTTATGAAGATACTTGGGGGAAATTCTGCAGCTGACAAAATTCTGCTTTGAATTTTAAAAATAAGCTGCTCTGATTCAGTTTCTGGACTTCAGGAAAAACTCAAGGGTGATCATAACTGTGTAAGACCAAAAGAAATCAGGTTAAGTCTTCTGGTGTAAGGCTGAGAGAACTTGGTATTATGGGATTATCAGAATCACCTGGAAATACTCTCCTACATTCCATAGTGAAAGCTGAAGAACTACAAGAAGATTTGCTTTTGCAAGTTAGTAATTAATGAAGTGAACAAAGATCTTTTCCAACCAAACATAACTACATATTTTTGAAGAAGTGAAGACATTTTAATGCAACATTCTGATGTGGTACTTCTGGAGTTACAACCACATGCTTCACTGCAACCCAAATTCCCCAGGTCAGTTCAACCTGGATATGAGCTTGGGAGCATTTATGACACCCAGAGTTTTGAATGCTCCTGAAAATGCTCAGCCATCCTGACCCATCTCACACAGGAGTATGAAAAGAACAAATGACAAACTTACCCGAATCATCATGACTGAGCACCTGATGTTGTGAATTGTATCATACACCTTCTTGGAAATGTCCACAAACTGGTTGTCATCAAACAGGTGCACTGTGCTCTTGCTTAAGCTCTCCAATGCAATATTTACTTGATTAACAAACTCTGGAATCACTATTAAAAGAAAACAAAAAAATTCAGTGAGCATAAAAAGGATGGAACATGTAGTATTTTTTGTTTTTGCCAAAACACCTGACATTGATAAAAACTTTATTTTCTAAAAAGCATTACAGTAATAGTGCAGTTACTTTTAAGTGAGAATACATTTGTATTTTTTATCACAGTTATAAAAATGCCCACAGTGAGCACGTGAGCTGTGGGTGGTTGTTCAGTACTACAAAGAAGAAGCAAGTTTTAAAATGGAGCTGAGGAAGCAGCTGTAAAATTTTGTTGGTGATTTCTATAGCAATTTTACCCAAAGAATCAGGATGAATAACCTGGCTTAACAGACTTCCACTATTTCAGTCTGAATGGAGATGTAACTAAGTGAAGATTGATGCTTATTCTTCAACTGAGAAGTCCCACAACTGTAACCTGAATTTACCAGGGCAGTTCATCTTGCTTGATTCAATAAACAAACTGTGCATTTTGAGTCAGTTTGATATGAACCTGTGCTTTACCCAGAAGAGCCTGGGCATTTTCTGGTGATGTTCCAGGGCCTTATTCTGCACAGTGCCCTGGGAGCACTGCACCTCCCTCAACCCTTCACACCAACCTGCAGCCAAGGAAACCCAGCACAGAACATAGAGGGAACACAGATGGAAAATCCACCACAGAAGGACTTCAAACAAGCCCAGACCAAACTCATTTCCTGTAACCTCGTGTCTGAGGACATAAAACCCAACCTGTGTAATGTTCAATATGAATAACAGACCTCGTGGTACTAAAGCTCTCTCTGGCAATGTGTTGGTTTCAAACACCAATATTGCTTGTGTTCCACCCTTCACTCCACACTGTGCAATTCACAAATTCTTAACACATGAAATAAATGTGGAACAATTCAGGCAAATTTTGAAGTCCATAATAAATTTGTAGGCAGACAAAAACTTTAGCTGAACACAACTGGATTTCTGAATTAGGAAACCTGGCAACTTAATGCTTTTAGTAGGAAAGGTGCTCCAAGAAAGCTTCCCCCCTAACTTTAATTTGAGAATGAATTTAGGTGTCTCCAAGGGTTGTATGGATCTCCTGATTAAAGTCACTTCTCTTTGAGCCAACAAGTAGTTATTACCTAATTTGAAAAACAGGGTATTTAAATTGAGATTATCACTAGAAATGTCCCACCTTCAAAAAAGTCAGTGGTAAGATCTGTAGCAGTACAGAAAAAAGACAAGGTACATCATTCATTTTGAATTAAGGAGAACTAGTGCCTATGTATTGTTAAAAAAAAATTCAAAGAACCACCGAGTGAGAACATTGCATCATTTCATAACTCTTTTTTTTTTCCCAGTTAAACAAAGATTTTGGCCCCTAGACTATCAAAATAATTCCAAGTGGAGCAACCCAAGCTGCATTTGGGTACACAAGCACCACCTTGGGGCCCTCCTCTGGCAGCATTTCAAATGGGGCTTTGCAGCAACAGCACTTTTACACAGATAACGAAAACAAAAACTGTAATTCTAAAATGTGTACACACCAATCTGTTAATGAAGTGTGAAAATACACTTGGGCAGTCAAAAACGTCTTATTCCCTGCTCATTTCCCCTGTAAGTGACAGGACAACTCCCTCCGAGTAATCCAAGACTGCTGGGATTTGTTTCAGTTTTGAGCTCCCAGCCAGTGACTTAAAAAATAAAAGAAAAAAAAAAAAAGAGCATTTTGGTGCATATCTGAGCTCTTAGCCACGGATAACTGATATTCAAAACACTTCTCAGAGCTCTAATGGACAGACAACCCTCTGAAATACTGTGTTAAGTGGACTTGGAATCTTTCCTGTACTTATTGTACTTATTTTTCTGGGCAGCCTAAATATAGTGGAGCAGTGGATGCAATAGGAAACAGGTGGAAATTATTCACTTTTTCAGTCTTTCAAAAGCAAAATTGAACAAGTAAAATTAAAAATATCAGGTGTTAGACAACTGAGAAGTACCAAATTTTTACAGAGAGTTGTTTGTTGCATCTGCACGTTTTATTTGTTTTTTTTTTTATGTTCTGTTTTGTTTATCCTGCACCAAAAATTAAAAGCGAATTTCAATATGAGCATCTGTAATTCTGCTTTCCCTGAAGGGAAAGGTGCAGAAAGGAGGATGTTTGGAAAATACCAATGTGCTCATAAGCATAATGTTCAAAGTCCCTAAAGTAATTAAAGATTTCACACTATCAAACACATTCTTGAAATTAACCTAATTTGTTTTAAAATTCATCAAGTGTTCCCTAATTGTGCTGGTTTTTTAAATGATACTATCCATATTTCCTTGTAGGCATGTCTTCTTAGTCTTCTATATTTTTGCTTGATTTTGTCACCTTCAATCAAAAGCAGCTAATGAAGCCAGTCTGTAGTTAAACAGCTGTCAGGGCCCAGCTCTTCATGCAGAAAACTCAACTTCACTAAGCCCTTCACTCTGTGCCTGTCATTTTTAACAATAAAATGATCAGGAAAACAGAATCTTGGCTTTGCAGGAGCCACCTTTTAATTGGGTTGTGTTAAGTGATTAACACCACTTCAGCCACCATCAAAAGCAGCTCAATAGTGAAAAAGCAACAGTCTCCAAAGCTGAACTGTCCACAGAACGTCTGAACAAAACAAACACACCTGACCAGACACAAACAGCCACCAACTCCTAGAACTGACCCCAAAAAAATTTACTTCTTGTAATTCAAAACGTTTATGGTTTTTCACTCGGGAAGAAAGCAGCAAGCTCGCAGTTGATGGCAAGAAGCAGCAGTGGTGGTAAATAAGCGAACTTGCCCGTCAGGGTTTATGTGCACGTACAAAGAGTGGTGCCAGCAGCCTGGGAAAAGGCTGCAGAGCTCCCCCCACAACAAAGACTGAAGCACGACTCCTTCAAAGGCAGCTTTGAAATGAAGGCAGAGCACAGGCAGCGACTGAAGCTCTCAGTGGCACAGCTTCAGAGCCCAGCTCCACTCACTGCAGCCCTGCCACAGCTCTGCCTTAACTCAGCTCCACTGGCTTTCAACACAGGAATCAACTCTCCTGGGCATCCAGGCACCTGCACACATCTTCTGTGCCCCAACAAACGTCATTAAAAAAAGATCATTTAAAAAAAATAAATGTGGGCAAGTTGAAGTGAAAACCTGGTTTTCCTTCTGAAAGTAAGAAAACCAGGGTAAGTTATTACTCATGAATTAGGACTCTAAGAGGAAGAAAAATTCCAAAAAGCCACCTGAAGACAGAAGTATGGTCAGGCAAGGCCTGAAGAGCTACTGGATGAGTTTCCTATGAAAGCAGAATGAGAGCAGAGCACTGAAATAAAGCAGATGTGCAGGCAGGCCAGTTAAGAGGTGTGTGTGCAACCCAGACCTCCGTCAAGGCACAGGTGGTGGCAGCATGAGAAGTGACAACACAAGAGGTGTGTGCCTCAAATGTTTTATTATTCCCCCATAAGCTGATCACCCAGCATGAAAGTCAGTGTGATGGGTAAACACAGGCTGCTTCCAGAGGATTTCAGCAGTTTTCCAGTTGCAAGAATTCAGTGGAAGTGAAGAAAAGTATGGTTGTAAAAAATAAAAACACAGCCACCTCTTAAATGCAAGGTAATAGTAGAGAAAGTAAGAAATCTAGTTAATAGCCACACAAGCCTTTTTCAGTACTTCTTTATTTAATTACACTCTTTGAGAGCAAATAACAGTTTGCACTCCTTGTGATTAAAAAAATAAGCATTTATAAATTTCTTCTGGAAAAGTACCTAAGAATATCAGATAGTAAGAGCCTTGCCTATTCCAGCAAGCCAATTTTACTGCTACATATTATGTCTACTCTTAATGTCACTTCAATCCAGAATGGTATAGAAAGAATTTAAAAAAAAAAAAACAACATCTAAGCTGAGGCAACTGTGCTGGCTAAGGGACACCATGTGAAGTAGAAGGGATCTGCTGGCAGCAGCCTGAGTCCCAGCACCCAACATGCAATTCAGAATGGAACAGACTGTTTCAGTGACTGACAGACACAGCTTCATTAGAGGTGCTCCAAAATACATTGCAATAATATTGGAATTACTGCAAAAAAAGAGTACTCTGTATTCACTGCAAAATGTTGAGCTGAATAACATGAACAGCTTCTGAAACTCCAACCACTTGTGACCCTTACAAACCCACATAATGCAATCCTAATACAAAGATCTGGCTGCTTCTGAACCTGGTTTCACTATGGTACAGACCCTTAATTCAAGCCTCTGTTTCTGTGACACAATGTCAAATTGGTAACTTTTTATTATGGCACTGTATCCAATGGCTTTCCAAGAGCTACATTTACATATATATACACCTATAAATGTATATGAATGAGAGAAGCAGATTTGTAACTATGCATTCCATTCACCCCTTATATTAGCATCCATATTCAACCACCTTGTTTGGTAACAAGCTTACAGGTTTTATGCAGGAAAAGAGAATAACTCCTTGTGGAACTTTGCACAAGTTCAGCTGAAACAGCTCCTACTCCTCTGGCACTCTCAATCCTGGGCCAGTGTATGAGAGGCACCATCTCAGGATCCCCCACTGTGCCCACTCCCCTCCTTGCCTATTTAGAGCATGAAGATGTATAAATTATCCCAACGGAATTTAGTATTTCATGCTAAAATTTCTGCATAATGACAGTGTAATACAACATAGAGCAGCCCAGGCAGAGGCCTGGTGCACACTGAAATTTTCCTAATGAAAGCAAGCTGTAATCAATGCTCTTCTCTCCCTCAGACCTGTGCCAGCTGCAGCTGTGCAGAGGCATTTTGCAGCTTGCAAAGCTGGCAGACTGCTGGCAGACCCACAAGCACACAGCTGAGCAGGTGCACAGACATCTATACAAGCATATAGAGAATTACCTAGCTACATGCAAATGGACACCATGAGTAATTCTGTATGTGTGCTCACAGACATATTTAAACACAAACCACGCTGAACACAACAGCAGTTTCATGGTACTACATCTTCAGAGATGA